CGGGAGGTGGAGCCGCGCCAGCCGTGAGCCTGGAGCTCCTGCAGTGACCCCCCCTCCCCAGCTCCACTCACTGCCCTCGGCTGCTCCTGGGAACGTCCCACTGAGCGTGGTGTGAGGGGCTCGTGTGTGGAAGGAGAAGACGTGAGACCCCGCGGGGCAGGACACTGGGGGGGGCGGTGACCCCAGGGTTTGGGGGCACAAAGGGGGGATGTTTGCTCTGCCGTGGCCTGCGGGCAACTCCTGTCCTGGAAAACAGGAGCTTGGAGGGATTTCTTCAAGCTTCTTGAGAGTAACTTAATCTTGCTGAGGTTTGAGCCCCGTGGGGATGCAGGTGCAGCCCTTCTCCTGCAGCAGCTCAGGGATGGGAGGTCCCTGAGGAAGTCAAAGGCCTTTTTCTGTCCAGATGAAGCAGAGACTTCAGCCACTGTTGATAATCTTTGCCACAAGCCTGGTGATGCCTGCAGGGGGAATGGTTTGGGGTAGTCTGCCAAAACTCAGGGCTTCTGTGGGCTGTTACCAGAGCAGAGGACTTGGAGGATGGGTTTATGATCCCTGGCAGCATTTTGGTGGCATTTACCAAGAACAGAAAAGCTGGTTCCAGTGTGTCAGCACCAGGCCTCCCCAGGGTGCTGAGCTGTGCACCACAATGGAGCTGAAAACCCACCCCCCAAACCACAGCACCACCGTGGAGGGGTTGGAACCCTTACTCTGGCATCTCCTTGGTGGCCAAGGAGATGGGAAGGAAGCTTGGTCAGAAGCTGGTGGCAGCCACAAATGCTGATGGGAGGTGTGGATTTGAAATGAGTCCTTCAGGTCCAGGAGTCCAGCCCAGCTTGATCCTGTGCCCATAGAGAGGTCGGTGACCCCGGTATGGTGGGGCCACGCCAGCAATTTGTGCTCACTGGTGTGGGAACTGAGCAAGGAGTGTGTGTGCTGGGGGCTGACCCTGCCCTTTGCAGCACAGAGCAGGGTTTGGGTGCTGAGGACCTTTGCATTCCCTCCCTGAGACAATCCTCCCTGTGCACGACCAAGGCCGAGCGTGCCGGGGCCGCGCTCTGCTCGCTGGGGGTTGCTCAGATGATTGTGGTTTTTTTCCTTCTGTTGGTACCTGTGAACACTTTTGTAATGACCACTCTCTGATTCTGTTTTTTTCTACCACTGTTTTGTCGGGGAATTTTTCTTTTGAAATAAATCTTTTCAACCCAGATGTTGCCTGGATGGTTTTCAGTCCCTCTCTCTCTGCTCTTCGTCACCCAGGGCAGCTCACGTGGCTGCCGGGATGTTGGAGCAGGAACATTCCCTCCCTTCATTGCTTCACCCAGTCCCACCCCCAACTGGGATTAACTGGGTCCCTTGACCAGCAGGATTGGACCCCCGTGTTCAGAGTCCTGGCCCTGGATGTTGGGCCAGTTCCTCCTTCCCCATCACCAACTCAGCAGGGCTGCGAATGATCCTGGTGTATTTTTCACTTCCAATCTGTGTCCAGGCTGCCAGGGGCTGGACACACACTTCTCCATCCTGAGAGCCTGGCAGAGACCTGGCAGGTCCAACTAGGTCCAGGAGTCCAGCCCAGCTTGATCCTGTGCCCATAGAGAGGTCGGTGACCCCGGTATGGTGGGGCCACGCCAGCAATTTGTGCTCACTGGTGTGGGAACTGAGCAAGGAGTGTGTGTGCTGGGGGCTGACCCTGCCCTTTGCAGCACAGAGCAGGGTTTGGGTGCTGAGGACCTTTGCATTCCCTCCCTGAGACAATCCTCCCTGTGCACGACCAAGGCCGAGCGTGCCGGGGCCGCGCTCTGCTCGCTGGGGGTTGCTCAGATGATTGTGGTTTTTTTCCTTCTGTTGGTACCTGTGAACACTTTTGTAATGACCACTCTCTGATTCTGTTTTTTTCTACCACTGTTTTGTCGGGGAATTTTTCTTTTGAAATAAATCTTTTCAACCCAGATGTTGCCTGGATGGTTTTCAGTCCCTCTCTCTCTGCTCTTCGTCACCCAGGGCAGCTCACGTGGCTGCCGGGATGTTGGAACAGGAACATTCCCTCCCTTCATTGCTTCACCCAGTCCCACCCCCAACTGGGATTAACTGGGTCCCTTGACCAGCAGGATTGGATCCCCGTGTTCAGAGTCCTGGCCCTGGATGTTGGGCCAGTTCCTCCTTCCCCATCACCAACTCAGCAGGGCTGCGAATGATCCTGGTGTATTTTTCACTTCCAATCTGTGTCCAGGCTGCCAGGGGCTGGACACACACTTCTCCATCCTGAGAGCCTGGCAGAGACCTGGCAGGTCCAACTGGGAGCTGGGACAAGAGCAGGGAGGCTCCTTCACCTGCTTCCCAGGCTTGGGATTTGGTTTTTAACAGCATTTCTGTTGCTCCCCATCATCTGAGCACAGCAAACCTTGGTGTGTGCAGAGCAGGGCTGGGGTCAGGCCTTCAACTCTGCCTCCCCCAGCCTGTGCTGTTTAAAAATGTTGCCTCTTACTCAAATTGCCTTTTTGATCCCCCAACCCCCCCCCCCCTCTTCTTTTTTTTTTGTTGCTGTTTGCTGAGCTGCTCAGCCCCGTGGCTGTGTTGGAGCACGTGGCTGCAGGCAGAGAGATAACTCATCCGCGGGGAACTCCTGTCCTGGAAAACAGGAGCTTGGAGGGATTTCTTCAAGCTTCTTGAGAGTAACTTAATCTTGCTGAGGTTTGAGCCCCGTGGGGATGCAGGTGCAGCCCTTCTCCTGCAGCAGCTCAGGGATGGGAGGTCCCTGAGGAAGTCAAAGGCCTTTTTCTGTCCAGATGAAGCAGAGACTTCAGCCACTGTTGATAATCTTTGCCACAAGCCTGGTGATGCCTGCAGGGGGAATGGTTTGGGGTAGTCTGCCAAAACTCAGGGCTTCTGTGGGCTGTTACCAGAGCAGAGGACTTGGAGGATGGGTTTATGATCCCTGGCAGCATTTTGGTGGCATTTACCAAGAACAGAAAAGCTGGTTCCAGTGTGTCAGCACCAGGCCTCCCCAGGGTGCTGAGCTGTGCACCACAATGGAGCTGAAAACCCACCCCCCAAACCACAGCACCACCGTGGAGGGGTTGGAACCCTTACTCTGGCATCTCCTTGGTGGCCAAGGAGATGGGAAGGAAGCTTGGTCAGAAGCTGGTGGCAGCCACAAATGCTGATGGGAGGTGTGGATTTGAAATGAGTCCTTCAGGTCCAGGAGTCCAGCCCAGCTTGATCCTGTGCCCATAGAGAGGTCGGTGACCCCGGTATGGTGGGGCCACGCCAGCAATTTGTGCTCACTGGTGTGGGAACTGAGCAAGGAGTGTGTGTGCTGGGGGCTGACCCTGCCCTTTGCAGCACAGAGCAGGGTTTGGGTGCTGAGGACCTTTGCATTCCCTCCCTGAGACAATCCTCCCTGTGCACGACCAAGGCCGAGCGTGCCGGGGCCGCGCTCTGCTCGCTGGGGGTTGCTCAGATGATTGTGGTTTTTTTCCTTCTGTTGGTACCTGTGAACACTTTTGTAATGACCACTCTCTGATTCTGTTTTTTTCTACCACTGTTTTGTCGGGGAATTTTTCTTTTGAAATAAATCTTTTCAACCCAGATGTTGCCTGGATGGTTTTCAGTCCCTCTCTCTCTGCTCTTCGTCACCCAGGGCAGCTCACGTGGCTGCCGGGATGTTGGAACAGGAACATTCCCTCCCTTCATTGCTTCACCCAGTCCCACCCCCAACTGGGATTAACTGGGTCCCTTGACCAGCAGGATTGGACCCCCGTGTTCAGAGTCCTGGCCCTGGATGTTGGGCCAGTTCCTCCTTCCCCATCACCAACTCAGCAGGGCTGCGAATGATCCTGGTGTATTTTTCACTTCCAATCTGTGTCCAGGCTGCCAGGGGCTGGACACACACTTCTCCATCCTGAGAGCCTGGCAGAGACCTGGCAGGTCCAACGGGGAGCTGGGACAAGAGCAGGGAGGCTCCTTCACCTGCTTCCCAGGCTTGGGATTTGGTTTTTAACAGCATTTCTGTTGCTCCCCATCATCTGAGCACAGCAAACCTTGGTGTGTGCAGAGCAGGGCTGGGGTCAGGCCTTCAACTCTGCCTCCCCCAGCCTGTGCTGTTTAAAAATGTTGCCTCTGGAATGTGGGTTGTTTTTTTACCGTTCCCGTTTCCCCCCTCTTCTTTTTTTTTTTGTTGTTGTTTGCTGAGCTGCTCAGCCCCGTGGCTGTGTTGGAGCACGTGGCTGCAGGCAGAGAGATAACTCATCCCTGGCTTTGCCTGGGAGAGTCTGGTGCTCGTGCAGCCTTTATTCAAATCTGGTATTTATTTGGCAGCCACACGGAGTTATCTTCCCTGGAAGAGGATTTACCAGCCTCGCAGGGAATTTGCTTTGCATCCCCACGCAGAGACCCGTGGGGCTGCACGGCCTTCAGGTCCAACCCTGCTGGGGCATTTTGGTGACATCAAAGAGGGCACAAATGGCAGCACTGCAACCTTCCCCCCCTCCACCACCCTGGTTAAAGATGCCTCTGCAGGAAAACCTGTGATCAGCCCCCCCCTGGTCACCCAGCACAAGGGAACCATTCTGTGGGAATCGCCGGGGGCTGCTGGTCAGACCCTGATCATCTGCCCCAGCCACACAAGGGGATACTTATTCCCAGAGCTGGAAGGGGAAGAGAACCCCCCCTCCCCAGCATCCCATCTATCCCACTGCCACTTTCTGGGAAAGGACATCCCACCATGACGTGGTGACCACGGGAACAGGGAACCCAACGCCGGTGGGCACCGCTCCTGGTCCCCACGTGGGGAGGGATCTTTCCA